TGTACCTTCTTTCTCTGGCCAGCTCCCCAATCACACACCACTTTTTTGCTTTAGTTCAATCAGATATTCTATAATCACAGAGTGGCAAGGGCCTTGGAGGTTGATGTCTCAGTAAGGAAGGGGCATAAGTACTGGCTCAGGAGACCAAAGCAACTGTTAAAATTCTCCTCACTGGGGAATTTGTTGAATTTTGGATAGATCTGACAGAAGTTGCCTAGGGGAGGGTAAACAAGATGGTCTGTAGACCATTCATGCCCTTGGAGTTCCTTTTCATAAAACTAGAGCCATCCTCCATCACGAACCCCCACAAAATGTGGCTCGTCGTGGGTGCACAGTAAATGTTTGTTGAAAAAAAAATGTGTTGAACAAACAGATGAGTAAATGACTGCCTTGCATGAAAGCCTGTGGTGGGCTTTATTTTCCATGTGACCTTATTTCTTACAGAATTTAATTGTCTGAATTAGCACCACAGAATCCATTACCCCAGGACTCCTCAGGGTCTTTATCCCCTCAACGCACCGCACCCTCTTTCTCTGGATTCTTTGTCTGATTCTCATCCTCTCATAAAGACGCTCAGCTCCCCAGTCTCTCATTAAGGTGTATTGTCAGGTCTTTATGAAGATGGAGCTGTTCTACCAGAAAGGAAGAGAGAGACACACTCGCTCAGAAACCCTGTTCAATGTTTGAATGTTAAATGTGCCATTTTATTATCATTAGGATTGCTCCCACTTAATGAAACAGCATTAACACCGAGTCGGCTGGCCTCCTTGCACTAATTGCTTTGGAAGGAAACAGGCTCATAACTGCCCCAGGGTGGGTGGGTGGGGGGCGGTGAGAGGTGTAAACAGAGACCCAAGCAAGGCTGAGCGCATTCAGATGAAACCAAAGCAGGAGGATCTCCAGACAAGGGCCCCTTGGACCCAAAAGAATAGGAGTTAAAGTGCTCTGGGGAGAAAAAAAAAAAAACTGGGACTGGGTGGGGTGGAAATGTTCAGAGGAATCCCTGAGGGGGGAGGAGTGGGGAATGAGAATAAGAGTAAAAATATTCTCAAAGGAAAAACAACACAGAGGAAAGTACTCTTCAATTGCCCTATAGGCCTGGGCACATGGATTAATTCTGATTTCTCCTGGGAATTATAAAAGCTAGCCAGTTCTGTCAACACCATTCCAACCCTGCTTTTTGGGTACTCAGCTTGGTTCCCTGAACCACGCCTCTGTAAAGGAGGGGACGATAATCATATCTGTAAAATGGGAATGCTATTACATCTCGTGGATCAACCTTGAGGACATAATGCTGAATAAAATAATCCAGACATAAAAGGACAAGTAGCGTATGATTCCACTTGTGCAAGCTACATGTGTGTGTGCGTGCTCAGTCGCTTGAGTCGTGTCTGACTCTTTGCGACCCTATGGACTGTAGCCCTCCAGGCTCCACCATCCATGGGATTGTCCAGGCAAGAATACTGGAATGGGTTGCCATGCCCTCCTTCAGGGGAGCTTCTCAACCCAGAGATCAAACCGGTGTCTCTTGTGTCTCCTGCATTGGCACATGGGTTCTTTACCACTAGTACCTCTTGGGAGGTTTGTGAACTACTTAAAGTAGTCCAATTAACAGAAACAAAAGGTGGAATGGTGGTTGCCAGGGGCTGGAGAGAGGAATAAGGAGTTATTGTTTAATGGGCACAGAGCTTCAGTTTGGGAAGATGAAAAAGTTCTGGAGATGGATGATGGTGATGGTTGTAGAAGACTGTGAACATATTTAAATGCCACTCAACTGTATACGTAACATGGTTAAGATGGGGGACTTCCCTAGTGGTCCAGTGGCTAAGACTCCAAGCTCCCAATGCAGGGGGCCTGGTTTTGATTCTTGGTCAGGGAACTAGATCCTGCTTGCCAAACTAAGAGTTTGCATGCTGCAACTAACAGATTCTGAATGCCTCAACTAAGACCTGATGCAGCCAAATAAATACTTTTAAAAAATGGTTAATATGGTATATTGTATGTTATGTATATTTTACCACAATTTTAAAAAGTGGGGGACTTCCCTGGTGGTCCTGTGGATGAGAATCTATCTGCCAATGCAGGGGACAAGGGTTTGATCCCTGGTCCAGGAAGATTCTGCATGCCATGGAGGCGACTAAGCCTGTGTGCCACAACTACTAAGCCCGTGCTCTAGAACCCAAGTGCTGCAACTACTGAAGCCTGTGTGCCAGGAACATGTGCTCTGCAACAAGAGAAACCACTGTCAGGAGACCTCCATGCACCACAACAGAGAGTAGCTCCCATTCACCACAACTTCTTTCACACAGCAATGAAGACCCAGCACAACCAAAACTAAGATAATAAATAAAAATTTTTAAAGGGGATAATAGTTCTGACCAACTCTACAGGAGTGTGTGAGGATAAAATAAGGTCATTCATTCAACACACAAATATTTGTGGCTTCTGTTCTGTGCCATGCACTGTGCTAGGCATGGTGGATGTATCTATGAGTGACAACCTCACTCCTATGGTGTTTACAGCCCAGTGAGGAGAAGACGTGAAGCTAATGCTTGCGTGCTTGTACTTGCGCTGAGTCATGTCCAACTCTACGACTCCACGGACTGTAGCCATCCAGGCTCTTCTGTCCACTGAATGTTCTAGGCAAGGATACGGGAGTGGGTTGCCATTTCCTTCTCCAGGGGATCTTCCCCAGCCAGGGATCGAACCCACGTCTCTTACGTCTCCTGCATTGGCAGGCGGATTCTTTTACCACTGAGCCACCTGGAAAGCCCATGTAAATAACTGGATAAATAAATTGTATTGTACATTAGAGGGTGACAAGTGTGTTGGGGGAAAAACACAGCAGAGTGGGGAAGACAGAGAATGCTGGGGTAAGGGTTGCCTTTTTGGATGATGGTCAGGGTGAGACTCATTGAGCAGACTTGGAGGAGGAGTGCACCAGGCAGATACCAGGATGTCTGTAAGAGCACGTGGTGAATTGTAAAACAAGGTACTGTGTTATTACTAAGAGAGAAATGAGGTACAGGCAGGGATCAGGGTAAGATGCTGCCAGCTCCCCAGCCAGCAAAGCTGGGGAGAAAGGATGCTGGGCTCTCTCCCTCCCTCTCGTTCCACGGCTGCCCTCCACTCCCTCTGCCTCTGCTTCTCCCAGTGCCACCCTCCTCCCCCAGCCAGCTGCTGCAGCTCCCCTTCCAAAATATCCAGTCTTATTCAGCTTGCTGGTGACAGCGAAAGGAGGGGACCAGTGTCTAGAGGAGGCTGAGGAAGGACAAGTGGGGGACGCTGACAAGGCCTGCCTGAGCTGTGAAGGCCCTTTACAAATGAGCCAGTGTGTCCTAGAAACGGGGTGCAGGCAGGGGCAGGGGCGAGGGGGCGAGCGAGTGTGTGTGGGAGGGATGAGGTCAGGGCAGAGTGGAGAGAGGCAGGAACTGGATAAGAGGAGACTGGTAACACGCAAGCCAGGGAGGCAGGTGAGGACCTGCAGGGATGCTGCACACAGCCCAAGTGGGAGGAACTGAGTGTCTTTTATTGGGAGTGGGCTGGGGTCATAGAGGGGAAGAGAGGATGCAGGGAATAGAGTCTATGGCTATGGAGGAGAGGACTAGCCCTTGTAGATGGGCTTGGAGGACCAACTTGAGGGTTTTAGTAACACTGAAGGATTTGCCAAGCAGACCTGCCAGCATTATCTCCCTGCCTCCCTTCTGCTTGAGCGTGGCCAGGCATCCACTTTCAGACGGAAACCCTGCCTATCTTCAAGATGGGAGAAAATCAAAATAAATTGGGCAGGCAGTAAGAGACCTCTGGAAGGGCAACTGGGGTCCACATGAGCTGCAGGGGAGAGATAAGGGCAGCAAAGAGAAAGAGGCCGGCATGGTTGCCAACCAGACTAAGGCAAACAGAGGCAGGCTAAAAATAGATTGGGGGTGGGGAGGGAGGAGAGGCAGTCCAGAAAAGAAGGGAAAGCACAGGCAATCGATGCCATTGCGACTCTGACCCAATTCTTCATCTCTCAGCCTCACCATCTGAAAAATGAGGAGATGATGGGGGAAAAGGGAAAGGCCGGTACACAGGGGAGTCAAGGGAAACTAATTTGAGCCCTAAGACCTAGGCAACTGTGCGGGACGAATTAACGGTGCCAATGTGGAAAAGAGGAGGTGTGTGGTGTAGTTGATACCAGTGAAAATCTCACCGGAGTTTGGCTGGGTTTTGAACCACAACAGGTTTAAGGGTTTAAGGAGTGTGATTCTAACTTGGAATGAGGTTCACCTGTTTAGAAAGGTAAGTGGGAGAACAAGATGGTGGAGGAGCAGGTGGGCGTGGAGTGCCTCTCTCTCCGTAGATACATCAGGAATACACCTTCAGACACAGAAGTGCATGCAGAACACCAGCTGAAAGCGGACAGGAGTACCCGACCAGTGAAAAGGAATATATAGAACCACACAAAACTCGAGATCAAGTCCTGAGCCTTTGGAGTGGGAGCACTGACTCCAAGACTCTAGACTACCAGAGAACTAACCCTAGGGAGTATCAAATACTGAGAACTCACACAAAGAAAGCCACTTGAATACAAGACTCGGCATCACCCAACCACCAGTAACACCCTGAGCAGGATGCCTCAACTAAACAACAAACAAAAATAGACAGGTAAGAGGAGGCAACAAGGATGAGTTAATCCAGGGACAGTAGGCTGGAGTGACTTGATGCTTGCATTTTACTTCTCAAAAGAGTGATTAAAAGACCTCCCTGGTTGTCCAGTGGTTAAGACTGTTCTCCCAATGCGGGGGCCCAGGTTCAATCCCTGGTCAGATAACTAGATCCCACATGTCAAAACAAAGAGTTTGCATACCACAACAAAGACTGAAGATCCCGTGTGTCCCAGCGCAGTTAAATAATTTCTTTTTTTCTAAAAGAGTGAGTAAAGAGAATTTGGTTATTGGATATTCTATTTCAATGATGGGCTTCCACTTGCTTGCAGCAAGAGGGATTTAGGTTAGACCTCAGGAAATCCACCCAATCACTAAGTAAACAGATTTTTGAGATATTAAAACACATATATAAGCACTCAGGGTATTTTTTCCTTGGAAATGTTTAGAAATAAGAAGTCCATCTATTTGGGCCTGTATAGTCTTACCTGATGGGCTTCCCAGGGGGCTCAGTGGTGAAGAACCCATCTGCCAATGCAGGAGACTTAGGAGACATGGGTTCGAGCCCTGGGTTGGGAAGATCCCCTGGAGCAGGAAATGGCAACACACTCCAGTTACTCTTGCCTGGAAAATTCTATGGACAGAGGAGCCTGACAGGCTATCCGTCCATAGAGTCAAAGAGTCAGACACGGCTGAATGACTGAGCGCGCACACACAATCTTGCCTGATGGCCAGGACCTGCCAACAAGCTTCAGGAAGACTTGTGGCTAGAGAGCAGGTAGAGTCTGAAATGGGATTCTGGGTAGGGCAAATGAATGTACACTCCTGAGGGGCGAGGAGAGGCAGAAGGCGGGCTGGATCTGTCAGGCAGGAAGAAGCAGCAGGGACAAGGGGCAGGATTCTAACATGCAGGACCCAGTGGCATTTACATAACTTTGAATAATGAATAAACCCAGCTCTGGGGCTCCAAGTCAGCGTGTTCATCTGCATCTTTATTAGGCTTTATAAATGATTCAGCTCCCTACCCCTTCCCCCCTGCCCCTGCCCAGCCTGCCCCAAGCATCAGGGTAGTTGATTGCTCATTATTTTAGACTAGGTTTGTTTCACCAACAGTCAGTGAGCTATGGAGCAGAGGGACACAGGAGGGAGGAAGAAATCTGAAAGGTGGGGCAGAGTGGAGGAGGAGAGAAGGTGAGCAGAGGCAGGCGGGGGACTATGAGTAGGGATGTGGGCATAATTCTCTAAAATGCTCCTGGGGCCAACATCTTCAGGAGAGAAAGGTTTCTTAGATTCCCCCAAAAGTGCTGGGTTCAAGTCCCACTCAGTCCCCGGTTTCCCTTACATCTTCTGCCAAGCCCCCAGCAGGCTTCTCTCTCTGCTCCAATGCAGCACAGAGCCACTTGAGCAGCCAAATGAGAACTGCCCCCAGGGAAGTTCTCACTTTTTCCTGAGGCAGGAATTTTGCTATTTTCACACACACACAAAAATCTGCTATGCTTGCAAGGCAAGAACAGACACCAGGCATATTAGGAGAGAAAGTGGTAGGAACAGGCCTACATGGTACATGAATCAGTAGAGAAAAGGAATTCTCGTGTCCATTGAGAGTTGGAACCAACCTGGAAAGAGGAGTCTGGAAAAGACACACCTCCAGTTTAGGCATGTGAATGCCAACTGCTCTGGTCTATTGGCTAGAGGTGGGAGAAATATTTAATAGCCGGGATGAGGAGGAATTGGCAGGAAACTGGCAGGGGGAAAGGTAAAGCATTTCTCAACCCTGGCTGCACATTAAAACCATCAAGAGAGCTTTAAAAAATATGATGCTTGGGCCCCACCCAAGGCCAATTAAATCAGAATCCCTGAGAGAGAAGGCCCTGGGCACAGGACTATTTCTTAAAAAGCTCCTCAATGCTCTTTGAATCCTGATTTTTCCAGTAGTCACATATGAATGTGAGATTTGGACCATAAAGAAGGCTGAGTGCTGAAGAATTGATGCTTTTGAACTGTGGTGCTAGAGAATACTCTTGAGAGTCCCTTGGACATCAAGGAGATCAAACCAGTCAATCCTAAAGGAAATCAACCCTGAATATTCATTGGAAGAACTGATGCTGAAGCTGAAACTTCAATAATTTGGCCACCTGATGCTTAGAACAGACTCACTGGAAAAGACCCTAGTGATGGGAAAGACTGAGGGCAGGAGGAGAAGGGGGTGACAGAGGAGGAGATGGTTGGATGGCATCACTGACTCAATGGACATGAGTTTGAGCAAGCTCTGGGAGATAGTGAAGGACAGGGAAGGCTGGTGTGCTGCAGTTTATGTGGTCGCAGATAGACAGCTGAGTGAGCAACAACTTTATATATATATAATTATATATAAATTAATTATACATATAAATAATATATAAACTAATATAATTAGTAATATGTACAATCAGGAAAATGTAAACATTGATTGGATATTTGGTACTAAGGAATTACTGAAAACTTTTTAATGGTGTGATAAGAGTATTGTGGTTACATTTTAAGGAGTCATTTTCTTTTTCTCTAAGGGAGAAACACTAAACAAATATCTTCCATCGGTGTGTGTGTATGTGTGTGTTTGCACGCTCAGTCACAAAGTGATATATCTGGAAAGTGAAAGTGAAGTCACTCAGTAGTGTCTGATTCTTTTCTATCCCATGGCCTGTAGCCCTCCAGGTTCCTCTGTCCATGGAATTCTCCAGGCAAGAATACTGGAGTGGGTAGCCATTCCCTTCTCCAGGGGATCTTCCCGACCCAGGGATTGAACCCGAGACTCCTGCGTTGCAAGCAGATTCTTTACTATCTGAGCCACCAGGGAAACATATGATATATCTGGGGTCTGCTTTAAAATAATCCAAGGGTTTAGATGAAGCAAGATTCATTCCTTGTTGATAACTTTTGAAGCTGTTTGATAGACAAAGCTCATTCTACTATGTTTTTTACTATTTGTATACAAAATAAAAACAGTTCTGTGAGTGTTTCTAACGTACAGCAAGGTGAGAACCACAGAGTCAGGCATCAGCAGGGTGGGGGCCACCGTGACACCTCAGCGGCATGACCAGCTTTAAAGGAGACCATGTTTGTGGGACCCTAAATGACAGGTAAGAGCTGTGTCCTCCGTAGCCCTATTCTTCAAGCAGAGTCACAGGGACCACTTGCGGGGAACCATATCTGGCAGTTAGAGATGCACTAGGGTGTCCAAGAGCTCTGGCTCTTTCCCTAGGCCAGCACAGCCTCTGGAGACTCAGAGCCCCTCTAAACTCTGAGCATCAGGCCAGGAGGTTGGACCAAAGGGTGCCTAAGGCACCCAGAACGAACCATCAACCCAACTCTTCTCTCTCACTCCCTGCCCTCTCTTGACTGACTCCACAGGAGCCAGACCCCAGTTTCAGCCAGCAACCCCGCCGCCCTCCCCCACCCCCACCAGCCGTCACCATTGCTTCCCAGCGCTGTCACTCTCCCGACGGGCTCATCTGCCTCTGTCAGAGAACATTAGCCCAGCAGACTTCATCAAGGACGTGAGGGGAGGCTGAACACAGGGGAGGTTGAACACCAGTGCGCAGAAGTACGGGCATCCGGGCAGCCACCCCCAAGCGGCTGCCGGCGGAGCTGTCTGAGCTGCTGAGAGATCCGTGGGTAGCTTGATCTCATTTGCATAGCACTTCTTCAACGAACACATTCACAAGAATTCCAGATTCTCAGTTTTCTACTTTCCCCGACAGGTTGGCTCTCCTCACACTTGTCCCTAACAGGGACCAACCATTCCCACGTTCTCCATATGCTCTTGGGAAATAACTCACCTTGGCTTGGAGCAAGGTATTTCCCTGACCCCTGCCCTCGCCCCGCCCCGCCCGTGCCCTGCCCTCGCCCCGCCCCGCCCGTGCCCTCGCCCCGCCCCGCCCGTGCCCTCGCCCCGCCCCGCCCCGCCCCCGCCCCTCCCCGACCCCCACCGGCGAAACCACCAGCTCCAACGTCGCGCTCAGCCTGGAGCTCTCTCTCTCTTCTCCGCTCCATTACCTTCCCCTGATGGCCTCTAGGGGCTGGGGAGGGGAGAGAGTTGGAGGGGGTCTATTTAAGAGATTTTTGGAATCTGTGCCTGCGCATCACCCGCTGCCATGAGTTATTTCAGCGCCGATGTTTGTCTCGAGCTGATTATTCCAGCCCGAGAACAGGTGGAGCAGCCTGCGGTGGCTTATTCGTCAGCCAAGGCCATCTGTTCCCAACAAGCTGAGATTTGTAGCTGATTTCTACTGGGGAGCAAGAAGTGGGGGCAGGGAGGGAGATGAAGATCACCTCCGAGCCCCAGGAGACTTACTCCTCCCAGACCTTCTGCGAGGCTGAACCCCCCCAGTCCTCCCCTTCTAAAACCAATACCTTCTCGTTTTTCTCAGAGAACTCACCGGTCACTTGACTCTGAAATAGCGAAAATACTTTTTCCTTAAGGGGCTAAACCTTCTTCGATGGAGTCAGGTAAGAGAAGCAGGAATCCATTAACCAGGCACAGTCTGGCCATTGACTCATGTCCACCCTTACAGATCTTTTTTTTTTTTTTTAAGTATTTAACTGTGACACAAATATCCTAAATGACCTTTTTGATTCTCGGCTTCTCCTCACCTCACTCCATCACTGGTCCCTACATCAACATGTGTCTCCTCGTCTAAACCTGTCACCTGCAGGGCTTCAGGCAGCATGGGAGGCTATGTCTGGAGGCTCTTCACACCCCTCCCCTGATGCTCCTCTTCCCTAAATACCCTGTTCAAGTTCCACCCTCCAATCTGTTCCTCTTCCAGCTTCCACTCACAGCCATGCCAAGAGATGCCTGCTGCTTTAAGAATGGCTTTCCCTGAGCAAGGGAGCTAAGCAGTTTCTAAGCAGCTTTGCCACATGGTTTACCCTCCACGGCTACTATTTCTATCTATGCAGTGCTGGGAAAGACACTCCTCTTAGAGTCACACTAATATGACTAATTGGGGGCCTTCTTTGGTTTCTGACACATACACATCTGTACTGACTTAAAAGAGAAATTGTATGAAAACTTTTATTTCAAGCACAGAGACTTCATCTAGAATCCCACGTGCCCAAATAGAGCTATTTCTAGTTTTCAGAAGTCTTATCTAATATTTATCTGTTTTCACATGTACTTTTGTCATACGGACATGTTCCCCTAGGAACCCATTCACAGAGCTTCAGACTGCCTCACTATTGAGTTGGTTTCCTAGGCTTATTTTGCCAGTTTGAGGGAGCAGGAGCTCCTTTTCTGCTATTAAATCCTGCCCAGTGGCTCAGTGTATGGTCCACTGGGAGGACCAGCCTCCACAGATGAGCTGTGGACACGCAAAGGCAGGTCATGGCCCCGTGCTTCTAGTGTACAACCTTCCAGGGTACTGCCATTCGCTAGAGTCAATCCCCCTTGCTCTCCAGAGGACAGCATTCCCGTGGAGCCAAAAACAGCCCTTAAGCAAGGATGTTAACCTGCAACTGATGCCAGTCCCCAGGATTAAATATGTCACGAGGCTTATTTCATCACATACAGTTTTATATTTGCCTGGTTATCAGTTGTTGACCTGTCTTTCAAAGAGGTAATATTTCTAAAGCTACTGGCTGTATTCCCATACCAGGATGCTTTTTTTTTTTTTTAATTCTCCACTTTCAAATTCCCTAGTGTCCTCTCTTCCCCAAATCCATTTGCTTCTTTTTCTAATCTAGTCAGATCATATAGATGTGGCACAAAACATATAAAAATTTATTAAAATGTGGAAACTCTTTGACTCTTAAACCACCTCAAATATAATTTGCCTGGGTAGTGTCAAAACTTAACATCTTTTTTGCGTTTTTTCCCCATAAAGCTGTCATAGCTGACTTTTGATATCTAAAGCAAATTCTATATGCACATTTAAGTATTCCTCTGGGAGATTTATGTCACTGACTTCAACTGCAAAGCACACATCCTTTTTGGACTCTCCCTCATGTATATGACCCATCACTGGAGCTTATGCTACAGAAGACTCCATTTCCCTGTAAAATTCCTTCTAAATAAACCTAGCATCCTTGTTAACTCCAAAATGGCTATTGCTCTGAAAATCACTCCTCCCAGATGGAATCCCAGAGAATGGTCTGGATTGTTCCATTGTACTGCAATGAAATTAGATTCAGGTGCCTAGAGATTCAAATATGCATTCCAGGCCATGTGGAACATCGTTGGCACTGTGTTCTTGAAGCACAAATGTGATCACACATGGGGGATGCTCTGAGAATTGTAAGGAGCAACACAAATGTGAGGTTGACATTTCCCTACCCCCACCCCCCCCAAATTGTCAGAAAGTGCTTCCTTCCTATGGGCAGGCCTTGGTGAATACCAGGCACACAGCTACTTGAGAGGAGGATCATGACAGCAAAATTCTTGGCTTTCTCGCCCCTGCCTTCATCCTCTGACAAGGTCAGATTAGCTCGGGGACGCCTGGCCAGTTGCTGGAGCCAAGCTGAGGTCCCTGCTAGGACAGACATCACCCTCCCTGAGCCTGTTTCCTCAGGGGAAGGACACTTCACGGAGCTGTGACAAAGGTTAAGTGTGATTATGAAGTGCTTAAACACTGGGGACATAGTTAGCGCTCACGATGGTTATATTGGTTGAGCCCTCCTCGTCCTCCGCAGCACTCCTAACAGGCGAGGCTGGTCTACATCAGCCTCAGCTCCCGATGAGGATTTCTAAAGTGAAAGTGAAGTCGCTCAGTCGTGTCCGACTCTTTGCGACCCCATGGACTAATGTAGCCCACCAGGCTCCTCCATCCATGGGATTCTCCAGGCAAGAATACTGGAGTGGGTTGCCATTTCCTTCTCCAGGGGATTTTCCTGACCCAGGGATCAAACCCGGGTCTCCCGCATTGCAGGCAGACGCTTTAACCTCTGAGCCACCAGGGAAGCCCTAGGATTTCCAGGAGCCCTTAAAAGGGCGGGAAGCAGTACTATCAGGTTGCTGAGCGAGGGAACCGGTTCCTTAGGCTTCTGGAACCCTTCAAGGGCAACGACTTGATTCGGTCCTGTCAGCGGCCCTTTATAGGGCGTGGCTTCCGGAAAAAGGGGCGGGGGAACCTCCAGACAGGAGTGGAGCCTGAGGTCCCAGGCTCCTGAGGCCGGGATCAAGAAAATAAAATATGAATATGCTAATATGCCCAGGTTCGCCGTGAACCGGAGGGGCGCCGGCCTGAACGCGCAGAACCCGCCATTAGAAAGGTAAAGAACTGAAGAGGACGCAGGAGGTGCATCCGGGCTGCTGGATGGAACCAGGCCCAGACAGCCCTCGCGCTGGGGTAAGACATCTGTCCCCCAGCCCGCGGGTCTCGGGGGCCCCACTAGCGCCACCCGTTGGTTCCTCTGGCCCCTCACTGCAGGTGGTGAAGAGGTGGGAGTCAGAGGTTCTGTTGGCAGCATTGAGGGGTTCTGTAAGGACCTAGGAACCAAAAGTTTCTTGCCAGCAATTCCACCTCGTTTTACAGATGGGGAAACTGAAGCTCAAGAGGTCAAGGCCTTTCTCCAAGGTCTCAGTGCTGGCAGCAGAAGCGATCAATTTAGCACTGGTTTTGTTTTCATGAGGGTCTGTGGACACCACTCTGTAGGTGAAAAAAAGCAGTAACCCCAAATGGGGCAGAACTTGGTATATTAGCAAGCATGTCCTGGACTGCCCACCAGCCCGGAGGACGTAGAAAAGAAGACTTCCTGGGGAAAGATGAAAGGCATTGGGGTGGCAGCCAGTTGCAGGAGCAGGCAAAGACAAATTTTCATAGGCTGGTCTGGAATAGGTTGCTATATAAGAGGTGATGAAATGTTACAACTTCCCTGAGAACCAGCTCGAGGAAATGAAAGGGGAACGGAAAGCATGAAGGTTAGATTTAAGGCAGCACTTTCTCCCAGGGGTGATAATGGGGTGCTTTATTCAGTGACCAGCGAAGGCTGTGGACTCGCCCTGTCTCTTCCACTTCTGAGGCCTCTGGGAATCCATCTTCCTCCTGTCCCATGTGGGCCTGCTTGGAGGACAGGAAGGAATGACTGACTTTGAAAAGTCCCCATCACTCAGGTAGGAGGTCCTTCCCCCATGAGCCTCTTGAGCTCTTTGCTGAGGGGGAGGACAGCAGACACGCAGGCTCCCTGGGGGGGTGGGGTGGGGGGAGGAAGCAGCAGTCATGGCATCTCTTGCAACATACCTCCTGCCAAATTGATTCAAATTGGCTTGGATATGAACATATGATTAAAGGAGCGGCGCGATTCATTTATCAGGAGAGATTAAAGAGCGGCATCTGCGCAGCCTAGCTGGGGGACAATTAAGGAGCAAATCGCTAAGTGTCTATGCCACCAGGCATGGGGGCGGGGCCTGGGGGAAGGACAACTGGGATGTCTGCCAAGAGGGCACAGGACAAAAGGAGGTAGTCGGGGAATCACCACGTGCTGCTCTTGTCTCTAGGCACAAACTGGGCACCATGGGAAGCCTCACGGGGCTTTGGGCACCCCCATGCCTCTTATCCAGGAGTCAGAGTGGTCCCGGTGGTCTGAGATTACAGAGGAGGATCTAGCGAGGCAGCTTTGAGCTTGGCACAGGGACAGACTTGCTGCCTGTTTTGTGGGAATCACTTACATCTTAGGGACCAAGGCAACCATGAGTGTACAGGTGAGGGCAGGATCTTAGAGAGCTCAGAAGGCATATCCCGAGTGAAGATGGGCTTTGATAGCCTTGCAGGTCCCAGGGCTCCCCTGGGGAGTTTGGTGTGGAGGGAATTGCCCCCTTCCCAGTCTGGAGCCCAGCATGCTGGCCAAGAGGCTTCGCTGCATCTCGGAGAAGTGTTAGTCATGTGAGGTGATGTCCAGCTTCTCTGGACACCCTGCGGAGTTCCCGATCACCACCTAGCATTCCCTGCCTCAGGGCCTTTGCTTAAGTTTTTTCTTCCCAGCACACCTGTACAGTAATATCTGTCTGTAGAAGTGCGTGAGTGCGTGCGAGCCAAGTTGCTTTAGTTGTGTCTAACTGTTTGCGACCCCATGGACTGTAGCCTGCCAGGCTCCTGTGTCCATGGGATTCTCCAGGCAAGAATACTGGGGTGGGGTGCTGTGCCCTCCTCCAGGGATCGAACCTGCATCTTTTACAACCCCTGCATTGGTGGGCAGGTTCTTTACCACTAGTGCCACCTGGGAAGTGCAATCCTTTACTCAAGTACCAGCTCAAAAATACCAGCTCCTTTTAGAAGCCTTCCCAGTTCCTGGCCCTCCTCTCTCAGTGACAGTGTCTGCTCTTATAACAGGCCCAAAGCAACTTCTTTGTCCTTTTATGTCTCATGTAATTATTTCCAAAGGGGTCTGCCCTAGCCCTAATCCATGAGTCCCTGGAGGACAAATACTATGTTTTACTCCTCTCTACTCACCCAAAAGGAAAAGGAAAGTGAAGTCGCTCACTCATGTCCAACTCTTTTCCATCCCATGGACTGTAGTCTACCAGGCTCCTCCGTCCATAGGGTTTTCCAGGCAAGAGTACTTAAGTGGGCTGCCATTTCCTTCTCCAGGGGATCTTCCTGACCCAGGGATCAAACCTGGGTCTCCCACATTGTGGGCAGACGCTTTACCATACTCACCCAAAGCTTGTACGTATTAGGAGGGGTGGTACATATTTTCTGTGCCTAACTCCTCTACTAGAATATCCACTTCATGCAGGCAGGACCTCATCTCGCCCCAGCACTTAGAACAGTGTCCAGATGACAGCCAGACAGTGATGAAATATTTGACTGTTGAATGAGTGAGCAGATGAATAATACATATTTTCTGATTTGAACAGATCCCTCTGCCCCAGGCCAAGCTATCAGAGGTTGATGCTGGGACTTTCTCTCAATAATTAGAGGCCCAAGTCACTGTGGGTGAGCAGAGTTGGGATCTTGCCTGTAGGTAGCAGTGACTTTTGTCACACTAGTTCCTTGGAAGAAAAAATGCACCAAACTAGCTGAAAGCAGGAGTAAAAGATTTGAATGACAGAACTGAACATGAAGAGTCAGCAGTTAAAAAAACAACCCGGTAACTTCACTTCTACTGCTTTCTGTATTCAACCTTCAGGGCAGTTTCTTTCATTCACGATAGAGCCACATCACACTTCACTCCCATTCATTTTGGGGATGACTTCCCCCCTCCCTCTTTCCCTTTCTTGCCCCTTTCTAGATGCCTGACATCAGCAGTAGGCCTGTCTGATACCCTTTCCTGCCTACTTGTCCAAACCAGGGGAGTCTGATTGACCAGCTGTAAATACTTCATGCATGCAGGGATTATAACTGGTCATATTACAAGAGGTAGAGGAGGAGGAGGGTAATTTGTTTCTTGCCCTTTTGCATGAGCTGCCTCTCAGCTGTCAGGGAGGGGACCAAGTGTGGACTGGGACATGAAGGCAGAGATTAAGCAGGGTGGAGAAGCCAGCACACCCAGCCTATTCAAATTGCCCTGTGGCCCATGGGATTGGAGGTCAGAGAGAGTTCTGCCAAGTATTGATCAGAAAGTCATCTTTGGGACTTCGCTGGTAGTCCAGTAGTTAAGAATCTGCCTGCCAATGCAGGGGACACAGTTCAATCCCTGGTCTGGAAAGATCCCACATGCTATGGGGGAACTAAACCTGTGGGCCATAACTACTGAAGCCTGTGTGCTCTAGAACCCATGCTGCGAAACAGAAGCCACTGCAATGAGAAGCCTGAGCACCCCAACTGGAGAGTAGCTAGGCGCCACTCGCCACAACTAGAGAAAGCCCGAGCACAGCAACGAAGACCCAGCACAGCCCAAAATAATAAAGTTTGCAAAAACCTGATAAATGTTTGCATCCTTAAAAAAGAGGATAGGATTTCTGCAGTTGGCAAGATTTAACAGTCAGAGTAACCTCGACATACCCAAGTAGAGGCCAGGGTAGGACAAGACCTAGATGGCTCTGCTAACCTGAATTACAACCCTCAGGCTTTTAAAGCAAAAGGGAGGTTTATGTCTTTCTTGACCAGTTCTCTCACCCACTGCCTCTGCCTGCTCCAGATGACCTGCCAAGGTTCTCTGAGTGGCACTGGTCTGACACGGCAGCGGGTCGGAGGCCAGGGTGACTCCCCCAGGTCCTCAGCAGCAGCCTCGCTCTGCTCCCATGTGCCGACCCTGGACTTTACTGAGCCTGAAGGAACAGGAAGGAAAACTGGCAGTGCCAGGAGAAAAAGGACATTTATTTCCATACATCAGGTAAACGGGGAGGAGAGCACAGCCCAATGAGTACAAACCAATCGCAGGAGAGAAGAGGGGGACAGCAGATGGGAGCGGCACCAGGCACTGCCCTTGGGCCCCCAAGTCTGGAGGTATTGGTGGGATGATCTTTTTGTCGGGGGAGGCGGGGACCGGGACTGTCAGTCCCCATGTTGTCATGTCTTGGATAAATGTGTGTGGGCAGGGCAATTAGAAGAAGAAAAATGACTCAGGCTCAGGTCTCAGGGTGAGGACTTGTGTCTGATACATATTAGTACTGACCAAAGCCTCCATCTTCAGTTTCTCCAGTCACAAGCCCTCCACCCAAGGCCTTCCCTGTCAAGTTGAGCTTGTGATCCAGGCAACTTGGACTGAAGGGGAGGGAGGCAGTGCTTGGATAAGCCCCGAATTGGCGTAGGTGGAGCGGGTTTACTCTTAAATAGGTCATTGCACATAACACACGGATAAGACAAAGAGGGGTGGGGGCTGGAAGTTCCTGCTGGTACATCCACACCCCTGTCTGTGTAGGCTTGCTCAGCTTGAACCCAGAAGCACCTGAGAGTCCCTCCCCACTCAGACTCTTAAGAAGCTGGACCCAGCTCTGCTCACCAGTCTCTCCAGCTGCACAGAGAAAGGCCTGCTCTCTGAAGAGTAAAGATGAAGCTGAGATTCCTCTAGTCATTCCCGGTGTGGGGAGGCGGGCCAGCTGCCATGGCAGCCCCCCTCCCACTCTCAGGGATACAGCTGCGATGGAGAGGCTGGGTGTTTAAATTAAAAAAAGTAAATAGACAGCAGGCACTGAGAAGAGAAAGCCCTCGCCCCAAGCCAAGGGGGAAGGAATTGCTGTTTGCTGCCCCAGACTCCACCCCATGGACCCAGCAACCCGAGAATGTCCCAGTAGGCAATCTGTCCACCGTCCCTGAGCGGGGCGCTGACATGGAGGTCAAACTGCTGGCTCCGTGTGGTGCCAAGCCACCTGCCACCCACGGTGGCCCAAGGCAGGAGCAGAAAGTTCTCTTTCAGAATTGCTGTTCCCTCCACTCTTCCACGTGGAGATGTCAGATACCCCCAGCCTTCTGGGAAGCCCCCAGACCAAAGAGGGTCGGGGGTGTCCCGTGCAGATCCGCAGTCGGATGGGGGAGACCTGTGCCCCACGAGAGAGGCGCCCATGGCAGCAGGCGGTGGTGGGTGGGAGGGGTCCACACCACTCCCCTGGGCTATGCATTGGTTTCTGTCTGCTTGGCCTCTGTGTCACTGTCACTCAGATAGTTGTGGGAGTATCGGGGCCTGGAGGTGCCGTCGAGAAGGTCATGCTCATCGTCTGAACGGTCAGGGGCAAGGGACTTCCAGTAGCTGGTGGGGCTGCAGGGAGAGAGAAATGAGGTCAGAGGAAGGGCGCTCTTTACCTTCAGCACCCAGGCCTTTGGTCCAAAGGAGGCCCCCCCAACCTTATCACAGCATTCCCCCAAAGCCACAAATTGAGAAATAGAAGCCTTCCCCAGTTTCCCCAAAAGATACGCAGAGTAGTAAGAGGAAGGCCATCTCTTTGATTCTGAGAACTTTCTACAACTCCGAAGAAAGCGATGCTGAAGAGCGGTGGGTCTCGAACTTGAATGTGTGTAAGAATTGGCTGCGGATCCCTGTGTTCTTTCCCCAAGAAGTTCTCATTTGCTAGCTCATAGGTGAAACCCAGGAATTCTGCATTTTCAGCTCTCTCTCTGGAAGATGCTGCTACAGGCAGTGCATGGACTGCATTGACTTGGAGACTGCAGATCTGGTGATTACAGGACTACAGCCTGTCTTAGTAAAGGTTCCTTCTAAGGAGAGGCTTTCCCCCATTGAATACTCCCAGATCATAACCCTGCTTCCTAATCAGATTTTCCTAAGGGCAGTGAGAATTTCTATCTTTGACCATGACACCATCTACTCACAAGGAATGGAGACTGAGGATGTAGGAGCTGGCAAGACCTCTGTTTCAAGGTGGCAAAGTCATTCCTGTCTTGGTACCACAATCCAACCCCATAGTTTTCATCAGGCCACTGGGAGCCTTGCACTGTCTCTCCGACCAAGGTATGAAGAAGCATTTCTCCCTGGATGGAGCAGACTCATGGTGTCCAGCATGGAAGGGATCTCACTTCCTGTTCTAGTCACCTTCTCTTTTTTCTTTTCCAAAGCCTTAGAGCACCCCTCCCCTGCCCCTCCCACCTTCGCTTCTGCACTGTAATTTCAGTAGTGCTGGAGAAAATGCAGCCCAGGGTGGTTCCACCCCTACCAGTGCCCTGCGTTCAGTGGGCCCCTGCCCCGGGCTCCCAGGAACACAGCCCTGCTTCCAGATCCTAGAGAGCTTCTGCTAGGATAAACAGGAATCCTGTGATTTCAATGCCTACCATTCTGATTTAAGGATCCGAGGAAGGCCCTTGTTTACTAACCCTCTCAGAGATCTTGTTTCTCTAAACTGAAAGAGGAGGAAAGAGTGTTCTCCAAGAAAGAACCACATTCTCAGCTTTTCCAACTGTGGTGAGGAAAGGATTTGATCGCTTGAGTATTTCCTGTATGTGAGACACTGTCCCAGGCAGGCTGGATATGCTTATTCTTTACCACATAAAATGTCATGAGGAAGCTGGTTCAAAGAGAGGAAGCAGCTTGCCCAAGGTCACACAGCCAGTATGTAAATCTGAACCTGGGACCTGAGGCCTCAGAGCCTCTTGAGGACTCCACCTTGTCGCCAGACAGGTGACCTGAGGAGAAAACAAGACGAAACCTGCATTCTCCCCATTGGCCTGGGTGAGAGCCCGGCAGGTGTGTAAAGGTCCTGTCTCTCTCTCTCTCTGCCCCTGGGGAGAAGGAAGAGCCTGATAGAATACATGTTCAATTATGCAAAATGGTTCAGGAATGGGGCAGCCTGGTTAATAGTTATCGTATGTCTCATGAATGAATTACCATTTTTAAAGGAATCAGGATAGCACAAAACACATTTAATACAAACTAGACTGAACATAAATGAGCCTTACTTGGATGGGCCACAGGCACTTAAGGACTCTGGGGTGTCTCAGGGACAAAATTATAAAGCTCAACGAGTACTGTGCAACACAGGAAAAATTGGGGTCTTTTTAGCTTTTGGATTGTTTGAATTCTGAATTAGTGGGAGCCTGATTTCCTTTTCTTTTTTTTTTTTAGACAGAACTTCTGGGCACCCAATGCTAAGGTCTGCTGTTGGGCAAAGGAAGGAACTGGCTTTGTGGAAAGACAGGAGGGTTATTTTAAGGGCAAAGGAGGGGGTGAGGTAGATGCCAGGGCTGGGACCCAGATGAAAGTGGGGTGTTCCTTTCCTTCCTCACACCTCTCCTCAGAGTGGAGCACAGCCCCCACTTCCATATTCCTGTGCCTGCCAGGCAGACACCTGGATGAATGACAGCTGGGTTTCAACACCATTCCATCCAGATGCTGGGAGCAGCGGCGGAGGCAGCTGGGAGGGGTGGATGCCAGGCCCCTCTCTCCCCTGCTCCCACCTCGGATGCTCCTTAGCCAGTTTCCTTTGTGGCTTCTGCGGCCACAGCTGTGACCAACAGCAGCTAGCTAGCCCCCTTCCCCAGGGCAAGAGTCAGGGCTGCAATTTGAACGTTTTAACCAAATGCTTTCAAATGCTTTCCTTCCCACAAGCCAGTGTTTCCTGCTCCATGCTGTCACACATGATTTGGTGCACAAGCTAATTCCCGCTGGGCGAGCCCAGGGTGGCGGTCCCCTCCCCCACCCTTTGCTGTGGATGCTTTCCTGTTCAGCATTCTCGAAGGTCCCCATCACCAGGTGGGAAGCTAAGCCACTCAGCCCCTGCCCCAACTCTTCACAGTTTATTTGCCCAAAGCCAGTTCACCCTGAGTCTAACTAGGACCTCTCTCCCCCTGCCCTTCTCTTGACAGCTCTGTATTGGTTGGTTAGCTTCTGGCTTGGTGTCCACTCTGCCCACAGTGAATCCAATCCTTGTTGGAGGTGGTGGTGTGTAGGGTTTCAGGACGACTCCTGTGTTCCTGGTGGATAAAAAGGGCTGTGCTGGAGGCTGAGGAAAGAAACAGGTTGTATGTGTTTCTGTTCCTGCTGGGTCAACAGTGACGATGGATTGAGTCACTGGAGTCTGCAGTCCACCAGCTGCTGGGCAGTGTGGGATAGCCTGGCTAGGTCCGTGTCTCCCTCTCCAGGTATTAATGCAGTGCTCAGAAGGGCCTGGCCCCCTCTGCTTCCCAAACCTCTCCTCATAGCCCATCAGCTGACTTCCTGTGCTCGGGCAGTAGGGCATTCAGCAGGGCGGTTGAGTGGAAAGGTGCGAAGGTCACAATATCATGATCCCTGCCTTTTCCCACTGTGGTGCTGACAACAGCTCCCTAGAACAACTGAGATGCTTCCTGCTCCTCCCAGAGAATCCTGCAACCATCTGGCACATGCGGGAAGCCACAGAGCAGGTCTAAGTCCAAGGGCTTGGTTCTGGAGCAACTCAGGGCCCACAGAATCTGAGGTGGCCATGAGCCTGGTGTGGCTTCAGGTTCTACCTCCCCCTTGCTGTCTCCCCAAACCCATCCCATCACCATCTCCAAGCAGCTGCAAGTAACATTCGCTTTCACAGACTCCGTTCCTTAAAACAAAACTGGTCCTTTTCAGTAGAAACCAGCTCAAGTCAGTGTTCTTGCTCAGCAGCTCCACTGCATAAGAGGCCCACAAGCATGCAACACGTGTGTGTTAGTTCATGCATCAAGGAAACACTGCCCGTGCCCCAGGGGGGCTGCACTCTAGGGTCATACCTCCTGGGAAGCAGCAAGCTTTCCCTGGGAGGGTACCATGCCAAAAACAGCTTCATATAACCAGGGTGATCCAAATGTCACCGCCCACCGGGGAGAGTGGCAACAATGGTATTCCAGTGAGTCAGTCTTTGCCTTTCTTCCAAGGTGGGAGTGTGGGCATAAAGGGTCTAACAGCTTGATCTTCCTTCCCACAAGGAGAAGGCTGGAAGAGGCAGGAGAGCCAGGAGGGGGCTGTCACTCAACAGCTGCTAATTTCTATTCATTAAAACTTCACAAGATGAGCTAAGACGAGGTGACGCCCGTGTGTGGGCTTCAGGTGGGAGGGGTGGGGAGAGAGTCAGGCATCTCCAGGTCTGCTGCAGGGTGTGGTGCTGTGGGTGCTGTAAGCCTTGCACTCTGAGCCTCGAGATCCATGCCAGAGGGGAAGATGACATTGTAGGGCAGAGGGAGAGCTGAGCAAAAGGCCCCTTAATTGCTGATGGCCACTGATGTATCAACTCACACCCGGGGGTCAATTCCAGCCCTTTCCTGGGCCCAGTCTTTCAGGGCTGTGGGCAAAAGTTCTGCATGTGTGCTGCTATGCCCATACAGTAAATAATACGCTCATGTACTCTGCCTTGGGTCATATGAAGGAGTGGTTAAGGGTGAGTTGAAGAGACTTCATTCAGATCCTGGCAACATCACTTTCCAGCTCTGTAACCTTGGCAAATGACTTAACCCGCCTGAACCTCAGCTTCTTTTCCTAGAAAATGGGCTGGTGATCAGATATTTATTTTGGGGTTAGTGTGAGGATTAAATGAATAAAATAAGGCAAGTATCTAGGGGGGTGGTCCCTGGCCCAGGGTAAGGGTTTGCTAAGTGGGAGCTGTGACTTGAGGTCACCAGCAAGCTC